CCATGGAACGTTTCCTTCAGAATAAGATGGAAACACATAACTATCATAATGTTTTATTGACTCTACATCTTTATGTCTCTTTGTTTGATTTATTTTTCCTCCTCAGTAACAATAAGGAAATCAAGTACTGCAGCGGAGGATTCCACGGCTCCGATAATCTCTTCACCAACATGCAGGTCAGAGGGAGGAAGGACGTGTGTGTTTGTCAGCTGTGCTAAAAAATGTTTCACCGTTCCCTGTTTGGGTTTGAAAAAAAACGTGTGATAAATCATCGACCCATGGAGTGAACTATATTTAGGTGTTTCAGATAAATCATCAACAGGCAGGTCAGAGGGAGGAAGGATGCACATGTTGTACTTAATTAACGTTTTTCACAATATCCTAAAAGACGACCCATTGAATGTATATATTTATAGTCTGACAGCTCAATAGACGTTCTCTTAGACTTAAAACAATACAAACTACTCGACTGGTGCTTACCTCACTACTGAGACATAAACATGACCCTTCCTGCAGCTGATCGGACAAGTTATAAAACACAACACAGGTGACAAACACGTGCACTTCTAAAATCTTGCTGCATGTGGGAGGAAATGAATATCTGATTACTCACTAAAACACAACTTCTTTAAATCAGTAATTACAGTTTTAAAAACCTTTATAAAGAAAGTAGTTGCTCCCAGGCTATGGCTGAGAAACAGTTCTCAGGAACTGATGATTTTATCTATTAGTACTTCCTGTCATTTGCTGATTGACCGGAGCCAATTAACTTAAATAAACCATGAAACAGACGCAGATTTAGATGTTGAAGTTTCTCAGTCCCATCTTTTCAGGTGTAGGCAAAGTCTACTTTTCCACAGAGCCCCTTGAATATTTTTCTATCTTGCATGTAAGATAATTTTCTCGTGGTAACAAGAAATATATCCTGTCTTAACAAAATAATAACTTCTGTGCACAAGATAAAATCATGTGTGCAAAAGATAATAACGTACCCATGAGGCGCTGATCTTGTACTTGCTTTTTATCTAATGTGCACATGTTATTATCTTGTGCTCACAAGAAAAAGAAGTATCGTCTTTCTATCTTTAATCTGCATCATATAATTTGATCGGTCAGTCATGCTGCTAAATTTAGCGATTAATTTTTGAGTCCAAGTGAAGTATGTCTTTATATTTGCTGTATAATTTCTGCACATGAAACCACAGGAGAAAATATGAGAAACACAAATACTGTGTATTTCTAAAACTCAGTAATTACACGTGTTGCTCTCCACCTACACGTTCTCACTTTTGGCTTCATTTTCATTTGTCAACATGTTTCTCTGTGCCACCTTCACACCAGTCGTCACAAACGCGTCTCTGTACGTTTGTGGATGTGGTTGTCGTCACATTTTTTGACTTGGTGTAATTATAGTCTGCTGGCATCTATAAAAAAATGGCTCTGAGTTTGGAAAAGTCAGCGTGAAGGCAACGTGTTCTTGAAATAGAGCGTTTACTCACCTCCAAATATCTCACCACCCAAACAACACGTGCCCTCGAATTTTAATCTGCAACTCACAAGGTCACGTGAGGTCATTTTACTGCCGTAGCTCATTTCAAATATTTACACACGGACTCATCGTGGCTCTGACTGTTTGACGTCTTGTTAGTCACAGACAGAGTTTTCAGTTTACTGTACTCAGTTAAACGAATGTACGTCAGTATGTTAAAATCTGCTTCTGATGTCTTTCCAGGCGATCTTCATCGGCTATGGTCCAGGATTCAAAAGCAACACCGTTGTGCCACCTTTTGAAAACATCGAATTATATAACCTCATGTGTGGTAAGTTGCTTTGTTGCAGAAACCAACAGTTTAATGCGCAATGTTCTCCTTTGCTGAAACTGTTTTTGGTGTTTTTTGGCAGCATATACTGTATTTAAAAAGAGGTCAAGTCCACGACTGGTACACAAACCTGTGTATTTATACAACCAACATGTTTGACCACCCAAAGCTCATCGTCAGATAATGTCCACTCCCATATAATTTGCAGATTTCAGATATTATGGTGAAATAGTGTAAAATCACATGACGTGGATGCAAACAGATTCACACACGCGCACACGCACACACGCTGAGCCGGGCTGACCCTGAAACATCTGTGTGTGCAGTGGACTGTTGCTAATGATTTAAAGACAGGACAAACACGAGGAGGAAATGAGTGAGGGCTGAATTCAATGACCTAAAAAGACCCTAAAAGATTTTAAGAGACTTGATACAAAGGCAGCCGGCGGAGCCTTTTCTTTATCGTCTTGTTCCTTGAACAGTTTAAAATCGTTTTCACCATCATCACCTTTTTTTTTTTTACTTATTTAGTTTTGAATTGTCCCTCTACTGCTTTCATGTGATCAACATTGCCTCCTGCCGATTTATTTCTCTCTCTTGTATTTGCCTTTTGCTTTCAAAGCACTTTGTAAACTCTGTGCTTTATAAATTATGTTTATTATAGTGTTTGAGTGATACCTCATATTACTGCTTAATGTGATGTAAACAGAAATCTAAAATAAACTTTCCTGTTTACATTAATCAATCATAATGTATCCACTCTTTTTGTCTCTGTTTGTTCGTCCAGATCTTCTCGGTATTCGTCCCGCTCCAAACAACGGGACTCACGGTAGCCTGAACCACCTCCTGAGACACCCACTGCACCTTCCAGTTCACCCAGCGCAGCTCTCCCATGATTCCCCCTGCGTGGCCAGTGACCCCGTCCCCACTGACGACCTGCAGTGCACGTGCACATCCCAGACCAAGGCAGAGGTACGTGCTAACAAGACACTGAGGCTGGGCGTGAAAACATAGGCCGAGGGATGAAAATGCTAGTTTCAGTCAGTGGAGACCAAAGACTGAATCCAGTCTGTGTAGAGAAGACGTAACCAGCTCTTGAGGTGTGGGGCTGTCTGGCAGCTGGTGGTGCAGAACAAATGGATTTCATTAAATATCAGGAAATTCTGCAGCCAGTTAAGAATGTGAAACTGGTCAGAGGACGGACAAGCAGACCTGCAAATCCACCATGAACCACTTCACAGGAACACGTTTGGAACGGATCTTGAACATTATTAAAAATCTGAGGTTGGATTATGTCGTGTGTGTGAGTATAACAAGAAGTGTGTGTTTCTTTTTAGGAGACGGATATGAACAGGCATCTCATCACAACTAATTCCAGTGAGAAACATTTTATCTCTCTCTGTTTGACTTTGCATTCGTACTGTTTTATGTTGGTTTTTCTTTTTCAAATGAAAATACTTCAGGTTTCTCCATTTTGACTGCAGGTGCTAACGTCATGCTGCGTCACCTCCACCATCCTTTCGGGACGCCCAAGGTCGTCCAGCCAGACGCCGACTTTTGCCTCCTGCACCACTCCGACTACCTCAGCGGATACAGCAGGGACCGCCTCATGCCCCTCTGGGTGTCGTACACCCTCCAGCCTCTGGTGAGTCCGCTGCTTGGAGTTTTTAAACGTGGCCTGAGAAGATGAGTTGTCTCAACCAGCTATATTTCTTCTCTGGTTTGGGTTTGGCAGCAGATCGGACGAGGTTTGCTCCGCTCTCGGCAGCTGTAACTTTTCTTCTGGCCTCATTTTGGCTCAAACTGCTCTTGTCTTGTGTCATTACGCGGTTAAACGTTAGTGTAAATCATGACCTCAGGCGGAGGAACACGATCCCAGGAGAGTTGACGATGTTTTACTTTACTGTCTGAATGATGGAGCAAGTGAGGATGAAGACCTGCTCTCTCTCTCTCGAGCTTTGTTTAGAATACTGTACACGCTGCATATGGCTTCTACTGTATATTTTCTAATCTGTGTCGTGGTATAAATTACAGTATCATGCTCAACCCACTCGTACACACACAGAGAACTTCAATTTCACACTTTGTCAAATTCAACAGCTCCGTATAAAGTTCGCTTCAAGCTACTTTGTTCTGTACAAAATCAATTAATCATTGAACAGCGTGAGGCTGTGCAGCTCATCTGCCTTCAGAGCAACTGCTATTCTCGTGCATAAAGGATGTGTTGAAGTTTTATTTATTAAAGGCGTCCAGGCCGACGTCTTCTTCTAAAGCTTCTGTAAGTTGATGCGTTTTCTCATTCAGCTCCTCTGTCCTCTGCCTTTCAGAATAAAATGAGCAGGTCCTACTTTTACAAACTGAAACCTTCGCGGCTTTTTATCTATAACTACATTTTTAATGTTTGCATTAAAAAAAAAGAAGCAACTCCCATAAAGGCAGCGCTCATACTTGCATCATGGGTGAGCTGGCCAATCAGAGCAGACTGGGGGGCCTTAAAGAGACAGGAGCTAAAACCAAGTGTTTCAGACAGAGGCTGAAAAGAGGAGCTGCAGCAAAGGACAATATGAGGATAGTGATGTGTTATTTTGAACATTAGAGCGTTTTAACCTTTTCAAGTGATAACCCAGATTAAATGTTTATGTTTTCTCTCTGCTGGACGCTGTATTATCTGTAAAACACTCATTTCCCTGTAAGTAGTACCGAACTACATTATCCCAGCACCCACATACACATGGCAAAGCAAAATCAAGCCGAGTGATCTCACACGACACCCAGAGCGCTGGCCTGAATCCCGCTCCTCACTGTCCGCCACTGACCGATCCTCTCTCTCAGACCACAGTGCGACCCCTGAGCCCGGAGGTGGAGGCTTGTGTCCGTGCTGACGTGCGAATCCCACCGGCCGCCAGCCAGCTGTGTCTCCGCTATAGAGACAACTCGGATCTGTCCTACGGTCTGCTGCATCCCCCCAGTGAGTGTGTGTGTGTAGTCACAGTTCCTTGTCCCCCGCTGGGTGTTGAATTGAAGTTGACGTGTTTCAGAGCCACATTCTCATGTAAAAATGCAACCATGCTTTGGGGCTGCCCCCCTCCTCTAATGAGACGCTGTAGATTTACTGTGCTGAAAATGAAATTCTGGTGTCAGGTAGCTCCACAAAGGGAAGTGACAGACTGATAAAGAGAAGTAAAAGCTCCCCCGCAGCTGGGAGAGAGTTGTAGACTCACCAGAATTAGACTTCACATGTGGCCGGTGATCTGTGCAGTGTAATGACGCATTAGAAGTCGATAACAGATAAATCGATTAGAATCTTTGACACATTAATCTCTTATGTCAATCTATGATTTCCGATTTTTTATTTCTTAGTTCCATATCATTGTAAACTGAAAATCTTTGGGTTTGACATTTGACATCATCATCACCATGGACACAGGGGGAATGTGGCGGACACTTTTTTACATTTCTAGACAAACGATCATGTCAATCATGACAATAAACAGCAGTTTGAGCTTTATCTGACCTCTTTGTGTTTGGATCATGTTACGTTTCAGTCTTTATCTGCCAAGACGGAAATTTGGTATAAGGATTCGGTCTGTGTCAGGTCACAACAAAATCTTGGTGCAGATCTGAATCAGTGGGCGGATCTAGGATTTTTTATCACCTTTCTCTACCACTGGGAGATTTCCCAGGAATGAATCACTAGTTTAAGGGAACTGTTCAGCTTTGTTCTTCATTTAAAACATCCCACTCTTTATCTCTCTGCAGATCTGAGCTCCAGCGGACGTGAGTCAGACTCTCTCCTCACGAGCAACATGGCTCCGATGTTCCCTGCCTTTAAAGGTGAGTCAGACACTTGTCAGCTCCTGCACCTTAAGCTTCACATGTGTTGCGTCACTCCCTTCATTTCTGTTCTTTTGCTCATACATCCACGTTGCTCAATTCTGCCTTAATCCCACGAGGACTACATCCATACCTGCTCTCTAAGAACAACAACACCACCTGTGACGTATGTAGAAGAGATCGAGGCAACTTGTGGTCTGCACAAGGAGCAGAGCTTCTGTTGGGACTTGTTGGATGATTGATTCATGGAGAATTCTCTTCAAAGCTCTGGTCACATTTCTGCTGCTGCCACAAACTCTATATATGGAAACTCTGTCTCACTTGAAGGAAAATCTCCTCCTCATCCTGTAGTTTGTGCCTGAAGCCAGAATTATTCTGCTAACTGATGCTGCCCCCTGGTGGCACACACACCACTTGTCAAACCTTGTGTGACCCCCCCCCCCCTCATTTGGAGGGAATGTTGTTGTCCTCATATTTCTAAATTTAAACCCTCATCTTCTCTCTTGCATGCAGACCACATCATCATCATCATCATCATCATCATTGGTTGTGGTGTATTGTTGAAGTAATAAAAAGTTTTGTGCGTGTGTTTTCTTTAACCGCAGATGTTTGGACACATTTCCACGACGTCCTGCTTCCAAAGTTTTCACAGCAGTTGAACGGACTCAACGTCATGAGTGGGCCGATATTTGATGAGGACTTTGACGGAAATGTTGACGCGTTCAAAACAATCTCGGGGTGAGTCGGCAGCGCACATATATATATATATTACAAAATACATTGGACACTTTAAAGTATTTTTATACGCTGAAGTTTTTATTTCGTTTTTACTAAATATCGATTCTTGAGTTCAGTAAAATTGATGATTATAAATAATTAAGTTAATCTGCTCCACTTTATTTGTTTTTACGCTACATTAACACAACTCAAACACCTTTTTTCAAACTGTTTCTTCATTTAAAAAGTGAGTTCCCTGAATGAACATACACATTTCTGCCAAAGTTGAAATGGTTTTCGTTACTTCACTTGAGAGAATGATATCATTTTTTTCACTGTTGCTGAATACTTCCTGGTAAAAGTACAGTGTGTAGAAGTTTGTGATATCTAGTGTTGAAGTTGCATGTTGCAGCTGCACAATCCTCACCTCACCCTCTCCTTCCAAACATGAAAAACAACCTGTGGCAGCTTCAGTCGTCATAAAAACTCAAAAGGTGTTTAGTTTGTCCAGTCTGGACTAATGTGAAAAACATGGCGGCCTCCGTAGAGAGGGTCCCCTCGATGTAAATATAAAGTATTTAAATATAAAAGGTCTTTTATGGGATAAAGAAAACTACAATTCATACAATTTAGATGAAACGAACTAGTGAAAACATCATGAGGATTATTCTACAATAGTTCCCTTTCACCTACATCTTACACACTGGACCTTAGGGTCCAACCCGGGAATTGAAACCATATTTTCAGCAGCGGTGACACAAGCAGCAGGTAACCAGTGTGAGTCCTGACAAATTCTCCATCAGCTGAGATTTTATAAGTGTATAAAATTCTTATAAAATGTATAAATTAAACAGAGATTGAATATATAAGAGGCAGCAGGGTTTGAATCCCTGTGCTCTCTCGTCTCTCCAGGAATGAGGCTCCCATCCCGACTCATTTCTTTGTGATCCTGACGAGCTGCGGGAACTCAGCCCTCATCCCCTCTCGCTGCGAGGGCCCTCTGCAGACGCGGGCCTTCATCCTGCCCCACAGACCTGACCACACCGAGAGCTGCGCTGTGAGTAACACCACCACCACATCACCTCTGTGGAAACCTGCTGCTGACAAACCCCACAGTGGAAACAAAACAGCAAAGCTGAGAATTTATAAATCACACATTCACAGGTTTTCTTTGCTCCTCCTCAGGATGGGTCGGACTTGACGTGGGTGGAGGAGTGGCTACGTTTTCACACCGCGCGAGTCCGAGACATCGAGCTCCTGACCGGACTGAGCTTCTACCACGACAGGATATCGGTGGACGAGACGCTACAGCTCAAGACGTTTCTACATAGCGCTTAAAACCAGAGACACTGAAGTTTTAATCTCCAAAGGAAGCCATATTGGTCTGCACAACAGGCCTCAGTCCACGTGGACTCACAGTAAACCTGCTCTCAGGTGCCATCACTTACAAACGTTTCCTGTTTTCAGACCATATGAATCCCAACAATGACCATCCATCCATTTTTTATTTTCTTTTATTGTAATGTCTGATTCCAAAACTCATTCTACAGTTATTCAGTGTGGGAAAGTCAAGTTTTGTTGCTTTGTTAGGATGATTGTACAGAGAGGGTTGTGTTTTGTTATATATGAGACTCCGGAGCTTTGAACCAAAGACGCCAGCACGTCTGCCGCACTTCCTCAGATGGGATTAAAACAAAAGGGAAACGTTCATCCACGGAACACGTATTTATACCACGGAGGATTTTATTGGTCAGGTGATTTTTTCAGAAACACCATGAAGATCTGGAGACTTTCAGGAATCCTGCCACACATCTGGAGAAGTGGCCGCAGCAGCTGGAAGAAAAACACCCAAATCTTCTCGTGATTGTTTTTGTATTTTCTTTATACTGCGACAATGTTGTTTTTAGTTTTGTACATTTTTGGTTTGGTCGGTGACATCAAGTGTTCAGTCGAGTGTGTGATAGTGTGCGTGCACATGTGCAGTTTGTGTATTTATGGACGGATTACGAGGCCCTGACGTCACCTACAGGACACACAGAATGAAACGACTTCATACAACATGGCTTGTTTGTGTCACCTGTTGTGTCTCTTTCTGAGTTTTCGTGTCATTTAAAACATTTTTATGTTAAACTTCACCAAGGACTCTCTTTCTTTTCCTTTCAGCATTTTCACAAGTTTCCCAGGGACTGTTGGTCACTCTTCTGATGTGTGCAACTCTTTTTTGAGCTTCTGTGTCACTTTGTCCTCTTTTGTCTCTGTGGTTGTTTGCATCTTTGTGGTCCTTCACTCATTCTGAGTCTCTCCTGTCTCTGTTCAGTGGTTATACATCTCTCTCTTGCTTTGCATGTCTGTGGTTGTGTCTTTAACATGTTCTGTACCTCTGTGCAGTCGTCCCAAGATTCTTTTTCATTGTGTGCAGAGCTCTCAGGTGTTGCAGCTGAACTTCAGCCGGTGGAGATGGGGAGAGATTCTCTGTGTTCAGTAATCTGTCCATGACTATGTGTTGTGTGCAAATGTGTTTTATTATTTTCGGGATCAACGCTGTCTTTGCTCGGTCGTAGATTTCCGCATCACCGCAGCTCTTTGGGAATCTGAGCCGGTAAATAATAAAGTTCGAAAGATTGCGTGTTTTCCTTTGTGTTTTTTTTATAGTTTCAGACAAAAACTCAATTTTATATAAAAACCTTCTGTTCTGACCTTTGTGGCTTGTATTCTTTGTGTACAGCCCTTTACACCCAGGTTGTGGCTGTAGAGAAACTCTTTTCTCACACATAATTGCGCATAAAGTGGAAATCTTCAGTACAACAAACCAGCAGTTGCTCTGTTGGCCTCTACTAGATTGCAACAGTGCGTGTGTGAATGTGACGAGGAAGGAAGCTCTGCCTGTTTCCTTCAGTCTATAAAATCTGCCACTTCCTCACGCTGACCAAAGCAGCCGTGCACTGAGCCCTGAGGTAAGATCTCTGCAGCTTTTCTGTCTGCGTCTCTTCACTTTGCTGTGACCTAATTCTCATCTCTCAAACCTGAGCTCACTTTGATCCTGTTGCTGCTCTATGGGCTCGATTATTATTGTTTTCTGGACGAGGCTGTTGAGATGGAGCAACAAAAGGAAGGTGTTGAAATCAAAGCTCATGTCTTATTCATTGTGAAGCGGAAAATGTTTTTTTAAAGTGGAAATCTCCTTTTCTCTTTCCATTTTAGCATCGTTTACATCCTGACTGATATTGTGCTACAGCTGCAGAGGGTGTGTTGATATCCTGCATTAATGTGTCGCATGTTGACAAGTATACCTATCGAGAAAAAAGAAGAAATGTTGATAATTCAGTTCACACAGAAAAAACGAGAATGTTCACAATTTAAACGACAGTTACTCTAGTTTATATTTTGTTGATTTTCATTTATTTCAAGAATAACAAACTTGAATCACTATTTTCTGTCTCAAAGCAATGTAGTGAAAGTGAAATATAGAAAGTTCAANTTTTGTTGATTTTCATTTATTTCAAGAATAACAAACTTGAATCACTATTTTCTGTCTCAAAGCAATGTAGTGAAAGTGAAATATAGAAAGTTCAAGTTGGTCACACGAGTTTTCTTACRACTCCAACATGCTGAGCTTATTTTTAACTGACATTGTAGATCTTCTAACCRTAAACAACTAAATTAATCTTAACRCTGTTTAAAAATACTTCGCGCTGCATGATTCAAAAACTGCACAAAGTCAAATTCCTGCAGATGGGAGTAGTAATAGTTWTTTTTTGGTTATCATCAAGYGATTGACTTWTGTTTTTCGTCGTTTTCAATTGAATATGCTGTATGAGTGGACAAGAGTATTCATTTAGAACATTCAGTGAGGGGGATAGCCCCGAATATGGGAAYATTCATAACTTCAAAGTAAGTCCATTTATTTTAAGTGTCAGGCACTTGAGTCATCATTTCCTGCAGGGTCATATTTTGAATCAAGTACCTCGTAGTTTCAGTTGTATGAGATGTGGTTGAGACAGTTTTTATTTGGAATTTGCTTGTGGTGATCAGTCTTTGCCGTAAGCACAGACRTGCAGCCAGAGCTGACTGGAGGTAWGCAGCCACTCACACGGGTCTTCCAGAAAGCTCTGTCCTGAGTGGGAAACGTGTCAGAGACCCTGTGACCACTGTTGGTCTTTCRCACGCCATTCAGACAAGGTGTTTGGGTGTGTTCAAGGCTGCTGTGGGCTGATGATGGGCTTGTCTTCTCAGATGTGATCTCACAGCCTGAATCATTCTGGTCCTTTGCATAGTAAAGGCCAGTGTGAAATGACTGTGCCTGCATTGAGGAAAATGATCATCTGCCTCCTGACAAACTGTCAACTGGAGGACCATCACCTCTGAGACGATAAAATCACAGACGCACTTGTGAAAAAATTCCCCTGACATCACCACCTCCTGTTGCATTTTTCACGTCTTGCCTCATTTGATAATTGCAACTTGAGAGAATCCCCCTCAGGCATGTTGCACGTCAGCAGAGGACAGATAACAGCTGTGTCCCTCTGGGAGACGTGAGGCCTAATCTCGGCCGACACTGATTGTTTTCTACAGCTCTCTGGATAGTAACAGGGACACGTCCTTAACTACCAACACAGGCTGGTGTTCAACAAGCCAGTTCTGCTCCCTCACGCCTCATTTGGCTGCTTCCGAGGAGGGAAATGCTTCGTACACAATTAAGATGAAAATCAACCCATTTATGAGATGAGTGAGAACTCAAACGAATAGTTTCACATTCTAGGGAAATGCATCACTCATTTGTTTTGTTGCAGAGAGTAAGAAGATGATTCATGTTACAACCGGCCCAGGCGAACATGAATCAAGGGTTAAACTAAAATGCTACCCTCCCCTGCTAACACCAAGTAACAGATCTTAACACAGTACAACTCTGGCTGGAAGTGACGAGAGGAGAGACCGCAGGAGCTGGGGGAAGACGTCCTCTTAACCTGCAAGCATGGAGGCTGGAACCAATCAGCTCCCTGGAAACAAACCTACACACTCACAGTCAATCATCCACTCAGTCAGTCACTGAGGCACACACACCTGCAACACATCACACCACAGCAGAGTGAGGGGGGGAGGGAGGAGAGAGAGAGATCCACAACACAGGCACAGCAGATCAAAGTGTTGTAACACACTTATGTCTGCAAACTCCTGATGCAACTTCTATGTTTAGTTATGTACAGGAGACTGAAATGACACCATGAGGGGAAAACCCACAATAAGGCCATTAGCTTCCTGCTCAAAGCTTCATTGTTTTGTGTGATATGTCTGGGAATTTAGAAGTTAAAGTAAGTAAAGCAAAAGAATGAGCTGAAGATGGGTCCCTTTTGCCTGAGGCATCCTGAATCAACACAAAATCAGTCAAAGAGGCAAAAGATGAAAAAGTACTTTCCACTCCTTCCAAACACAACTTTTATCTCGGTTGTGAAATGTGTGACACACAGATAAAAAGATCTGTTATTACTCAGATTCAACGAACGTGCTGCAGCTTCATATTTGCTGAATACAGACATGTTCATATCTAACTCTTGTCAGGAAAGCAACTGAGCTAATTTCCCAAAAACTGTTTTAAGTCTGCATTTAAGTCTGTGTTGTTTCTTTTGGAATCTTAGCTGTTGGAATAAGATTTTTTAATAAATAAATAGATCAATTTATATAGAAGACTGTAGACCTGCAAAACAAATAGAAAAAAAAGAAAGAAACTAGAACACAGACACACGTCAGACATCAATAATGCAACGGTTGGCATTTGTGTTTTGCCGTCCTGTCATCAGTGAAGCATCGCTGCTCCTCCTGCAGCTGACGAAGCAGCGGTGGAGGCAAAAAGACCATGTGACCCTGATACAGGAGAGAAAGATGAGGACACAGTTTATTTCTGCCTTTGGTTCAAATGTCATCAGCTCCTCTGCCACAGTTCCTCCTATTGATAAACTATCTGCGTCATCAGGTCACAGATTTGTAAGAGAATGAGAAAAATAAAAACGTCAGCTGGGCCAGTGTGAGGCTTCATCATCCAAGTGGAAACACCACAACTATCTGCTCAGGAGGTCCACTTCCTGCTCTGACGTGGACGGAGACTCCCAGGGCATCACAACCGGGGGAGCACGTTGGATAACCTTTTTCTATCTTTGACTCTTTCAGCTCCAGCAGCCTGAAGAGGAGGAGGTCTGAGCTTGGGTCTAGAGAAGAGGAGGAAGAGGAGGAGACAGGCAGGAATAAAAAGAGGAAGCAGAGAGGGAGGACAGTGAGAAGAGAAGAGAAGCAGAGACAGTCGCTGTTGCTCAAAGATGGATCTAGATTTTCTTCACGCCCTGGAGAGAGAGAGAGTCCTGGATGTCCTGCGGAGAGACAAACAGCTGCGTATCATAGAGGAGGACAGAATCAGGTGAGGATTATGTTTCATTATGTTGTGTGATTCATTTACTGCAGGGGAATCCTTCTTAATGATTCCCACAAACAAGATATGACCAAGAGACCTGGTTGAATCTGCTGCCTCAAATTTTGCTTCATTTAGAATTTAAAGATGCTGTTAACTTCTGGAGAGACACAGGCTAGCAGTTCCCCCCTGCTTACAGTCTTTATGCTAAGCTAATCTGAACAAGGCTGGTGTAACCCTAACCCGTCAAGATGTCTAGATAAAGCACCACATGTGTGTGAAGGTTTTCTTTTATGGCACTTAAAGTTGTCTCTTCTCTCATCTCAGGAGAATGAAATATGAGCTCCAGGAGCTACGAAGAAGAGGCGCCAAGAGTTTCACGCGGCAGTACGGCGAGCGGACCTGCGCCCGCTGCCAGAGGCCTCTGGGAAAGTTCTGGAACTCGGGTGACGTCTGCCACGGCTGCAGTCACCGCATCTGCAGCAGGTGTCGTGTGGGAGTGGGAGCGGTTGACTGGACGTGCACAGTTTGTCACGCCTACAGGTACAGTCAAGAGCCTAACCACCTTCTTAATGGGACTGGAAGTATTTGACTCAGTGGTTGTCAGATCACTGAATGACTGTAGGAGAAACTACAATGACTGTAGCTGTTACGCTGCAATTTATGACTTCTGAAACTCACTCTCTGAAAGATTTGCTCAATCATTTTGTCTGCTCTTGTTTTGTACCTTTTAAACTTAAAAATGTCCTTAAAGCTGCTTTAAACTATTTTACTATCTTGAGCTATAAAAAAGTTTGAAAAACATTGTGAAACAGGGAGAATTAGATGCTTTCGTAGAGGAGCATTTAGCAGCAGAGTTGGTAGAGAGCAAAACTGTCCCCTCAATAAAGACAAAAGGCCCAAAATATAGCTTTCAAGTGTCAATGACCAAAAGTCTGTTTTCGCAGGTGAAATATACAACAGGCCACTTCTCTCAAATGAAAAAATATCTACAAATTAGAACTCAAGCTAAAGTTAAAAAGAAGCATCAAGATTTCACGACAAGTATCTGTTTTTGTAAAACAGCAGTACAGTAACTTCCAGTTGGACTACAGCTTGTGCTGAGTATAATCCCAGTGTTTGTCTCCACAGCGAGGTGAAGATCAGGTCTGGAGATTGGTTCCTGGAGGAAAAGTTAAAGAAGTTTCCCGCCACCACAGGTTTGTTTATAATTCGTGAACTGCATTGACTCTGCATTTATTATTCATCCTCCCTCGATATCATCCAGTCAGGAAACACTGAATAATAAAATATGGATGTTCCCAGTTGTGTTTGTTTGAGTTACAGAATTATTCAATATTTCCAATTTACAGAGTTGTATATAGTATAGTGAAAAGTATGTACAACACCAATAAGCATATTTAAATACTTATTAGTGTTTTTAACCCTTTCATACTTAGATACTTAGAGCATACATGGATATGATCACTTTCACTTTGTTTAAACATTACTTGTTTAATTTAACCACTAACTAACCACAGAGGACATAAATATGTCTTGACACTGGACTCCACCCTGATCGAGTGGTTGTCACACACACCACATGTAAACTTTTTAATCTCCTTAACAGACAAATATGAAACAATCGGGGAGAAGCTGTTGAAGACCTACAATGTCCTGAGGTATGATGCATCCGTACGTGTTGATTATACATGTGGATCTGCTCTGATCCATCAAATCTTTGAATGCATGTGTTTTCTGTTATTTCAGTCACATATCAGTGGTGCCGCCCACTCCTCCACCACATCTGGATCAACAGTTTCTGTGCAGATCAGGGGTAAAGCACCACGACACATTTCCCACATTATTTTACAGCAAACGTTTACAATGGTGTGAAGCGAGTGGCAATAATTGTGTTTTTTCCGCCTGCAGAGTTTGAATAACTCAAAACCTTTTACCAAATCTGTTGAGGATCTAATGGTTTCCTTCACGAGTCACATGAAAAGTAAGTTGTCGCCAGTGGCCTGAAAGCGTGCATGTGATAACCACAAAGGAAACTTGTCTTAAAAAAAAGATCTCACCTCATAAAAATACATAAGAAATGTAAGAAAATGAAGATCAACATCTGATAACACAACTCCAGGAAGTGGCCAAACCTTTTTGCTCTAAATGGCTTTTGAGTGTTTCTCTAATCGTCATCTCAGTTCCTCTTTCTTCTTCTAAATTTCAAATTCTCTTTTCTCAATGCAGAGATTTCAACTTCTCAAAACGACGTGCAGGGAGACAGGCTGTTCGTCAACAACGGCCGCAAAGCGTCGTGCTTCACCTTAAGCACTCAAAAGAGTCTGTCTGACACCGAAATCAACAAATCCATTCATGTGAGTCAGCAACAACCTTCATACAAGTATAATTACACATCTGTTCCTGGTCTCTCTCTCTTCTCTCTTCTCTCTTCGAGGCAGATGGCCGCCCACCTTGAGTCTGGTTCAAGAAGTTTCTTCCAGTTAATGAGGGACTTTATTTTTCTATTGCCACAGTAGCCAAAGCTTTTGGCTGATTGTTAGAACTGTTTGGTTTATCTTTCATTTTAACGCCTTAACTTTACTCTGTACGGTGCCCTGAGATATACGTTATGATTCGACACTATATAAGACTGAAATTGGAATGAAACAGAAATTGAAATGGGTCTGCCTATAGGGTAATTTCTGTCAAGCACTGATTTGAAAAGTGCAGTTTCAAATTCAAAAAAACAAACAAAGCTAAGTCCAATAATTTGCAGCAGACACTCATAGGTTTCCATTTTGAAACTGCTAAAAAAGGCCAATATAATGATTTAAGACCTTGAGTGGTTATTGGAATAAAAACTTCAAAACTCTTCAAAGCTACTGACTAAAGCTGAATCCTCTCTAATGTTCCTTTGTGTTTTTGCAGCTGTTCAAAGTCCCAAGTCTCCCAAACCTGTTCAAGAAAAGCAAAGACAGCGACCAGGAAGGGTCGTCTACCGGGGCAGAGGAAGAAACCTCCTTCGGTTCCGAGTACTCTGGAGGAAAGAGAGTGAGTAACAACATCCTGTGGTTGCACTATCAAATCGTAGATTGTGATCGCTTCAGTTTTCTGGCTGACATATATAAAATCTCTTTCCTGTATGTTCTGTGCTCCTTTAATCAAATTCAAATCCTGCCTGTTGTGTCTTTCTTTCCTTTTAAACATAAAATATCTGCTCCCTCAGGGCAGCAGCAGCAGCGTCGGCACCGACTGCGGCCTCTTCGAGAGCATCGGCGTGGCCGGAGAGCTGGAGCTGTCTCTGACCTACAACTCCAATGCCTCCTGTCTGGAGATCACGGTTGGCGCCTGCAGAAATCTCTCATATGGAGACATGAAGAAGAAGAGATGTCACCCGTAAGGATTATCAATAGTGTACTGTGTGTGATATACCCCATGACATCATTTAATTACATCCTGTGTGTGTTTTCTCTGCACATAGATACGTCAAAGTCTACGTGCTGCCGGAGAAGAGCGGCAAAATGAAGACGACGGTGAAGAAAAACACAACTGATCCTGTTTATAACGAGGTTTTAAAGGTAAAAAATGATAATACACAAATGCATTTGCTTTGTTTTGTTCTGTGTTTTTACTGTTGTTGTAATGGTGTTATATATGTATCATAGTATCACATAGAGCGCCACCTGCTGTTTGGAAAGAGACTGCAGGCCACCGTGTTGCATTCAGGAACCCTGAGAAGGAAGGTGTTTCTGGGTGAAGTTCTTATTCCACTGGACGGCTGGACATGCGAGGATATATCCTCCCAGAGCTTCAACTGGTACCCACTGTGTCACAAGGTAAAACCCGAGTGTTCAGATGTGTTTTATATACAAGACGAGAAAAGTTTTCATCTGCACTGAATCATAAATGTTGATGTGAATAATGGACTTAACCATCGAATACAATCGATTTCAATCAACTTCTGTTCAGAAAATTACTTTCCCTGAATGATTTGTCATTATGAACCCTGACGTCAATTTTAATATGTCCAGTACTTTGATTTTTGACTTGTCATCAGATATTGAAGGGAGGGAGACATGGTTTTATCCTGAGCAAGAGTCAAAAGAAAATACAACTTTCACTTATTCAAATTAGACTTTTCTTTCACTAATTTATTACATCATTTCCAAATTCAATGATTCCATATATTTTGTGCATATTAATTATGTCATACTGCAGTATGAGTTTCTCATCTTCCTGCTTCTTCGGTTTATTTGTTCTGCAGGCTGAGAGTCCAGATGGTGGCGCTATGGAGCAGGACAGATGAGACCTGCTGGTCAGAGTCATGTTCACCTCCAACAAGTGAGTAAATATTCTGCTGTTGCTATCATGTAGTTTAATGTATTACAGATGTGTTACATGGGATAACTCACAACAACTCCTCAGAACGTTTCAAAAACATCAGCTTTACAGAAAAAGAAAAGACAACATATGCATGATGTTTTTATGGCACATAAACTGAATGAATCCTGTTTCATTGGTTCTTCAGTTTCAGCACTAGAGGTCAGGAGAGCTTCTCTTATAGTCGCTTCTGTTGTGCAGCTGTGGGATAAACATTGCAGCCACATGGCAATGATCAACTAACTGTCCTTATCAAAGGCATCAAACCCAGTCCCATTAATGCAAACAGCGGTCGGAGCACCTGTGTCACAGAGTAAACACACCTCATTGTGCCCCTGTGTGTGTGTGTGTGTGTGTGTGTGTG